ACTTCCTTAAATCCAGGTGTTCAAGTGTTATTAAAGATTAATTTACATGAGAAATGTTGACATAAGACTCAATAGTTTCAGTACCAGATTAAAAATTAATGATTAGCTGTTGTGTAATAATCTTTTTGTACACTGTGAAGATGTTTCACTTGGATTGGTTTAATAAAAAGCTAATGGCCAATAGCTAGGTAGTATTTTCAGGGGAGAGAGAATGCTGGGAAGAAGGCAGAGAGCAAGTAAGTCACTCGAGAGGTAATAGCCATGAATCATGTGGCAGTGCATAGATGAATAGAAATGGGTTAATTTAATTTGTAAGAGCTAGCTAGAAACAAACCTAAGCTATTGGCCAAGCATTCATAATTAATAAGTATCTGTGTCATGATATTAGAACTGGTAGGAGGGACAGATAAAGTCTCCCAACTATTAGAGGCAATTATTTGACCAACATTTATTTTTCTGTTTTGTTGAGGAATGATTGCACATAACATTTGCATATCCTTTTGGTCTATAAGGATGTTGTCTTGATACATGTATATATTGTAAAATGATACTGTGTTAGAATTCTCTAGAAGAGCAGAACTACTAGAATGAATTATAAAAATGGATTTATTAGATTGGATTACTTACATAACTGGTTGGGTATCCTAACAGTGGTCATCAGCATTGTCTGAGTTAGAGCTTCCATTACTGTGACAAAAGACCATGATCAAAAGCAAGTTGGGAAGGAAAGGGTTTATTTCAGCTTTCAGATCCACTGCATAATCCATTACTTAGGGAAGTCACAGCAGGCACTCAAACAAGGTGACCTTGAGGCAGGAGATAATACAGAGGCCATGACGGAGTGTTGTCTACTAGCTTACTCCTGTAGTGTGCTCAGTCTGCTTTCTTATAGCACCCAGGACCACCAGCTGGGGGGAAAGGGTGGGGGGGGGCATTGCCCACAGTGAACTGGGTCCTCCCACAACAATAATCAATCAAGAAAGTGTACTACAGACTTGTCCACAGGAAATCTGGTGGAGTCATTTCTGCAGCAAAGGTTCCTTCTTCCCAAATGACTCTGGCTTGTGTCAAGATGACATAAAACTAACCAGCACAAACATGTTGGAGAAGCAGAGGACAAGAGAACTGCTCAGTCCACGAAGCTGTGTGCCTCAGTAACTCAAAGCTGGCATTGGAGGCTTGGAGGATTTCTGCAGAGCCAATGCCTTCAGTCTGTATTAGAAAGCTGAAAAATGGAGGGCCTGGTATCAGTAAAGAACAGCAGCCACAGGAACCACAAAACAACGGGATAAATTCACTCACCAGTAACAAGCAAAGGCAGGTAAGTAAACAGCATTTCTTTTTCTTGTACCTCTCTATATCTGGGCCTTCACATGGAAAGTGGCACATATTCTGGACAATTCTTCTTTCTCCCTTTACTCCTTATCTACAGTTACTCCTTCCTGGAAAACCTCTCATAGACCTGTGCAAAGGCATGTCTCTAGGTTGATCCCAGATCCTGTTGAGTTGCCATTCAATATTATTTATTAGAGGCCAGACTCAGGAGCATAACTATCATATTGGTTCTCTACAGCTGCAGAATGTCCCTTGAACTGACTCAGATTTAGGAGCAGTGGGATATGAATTTCATATTAGCAGATTCTTTACAAACCAAATAACCAAGATAAAACATAGAACACTTATCACCTCAGTCTGCAATAAAGCATACTTAAACTGAATGACATATGCAACCAGAATTACTTTTTATGGTTCTGGAGGATGACAAGTCTAAGATCCAGACTTGTCACCTGGCTCATTCAGTCCCTTGGTGAAGGTCATCTTCCAGGCTAACAGATGGCCACCTTTTCTCTCTGTCTCAGTTGGAGGAGTCAGAGTTAGAAGCAAGGCCTCTGCTATCTCTTCTCATAGGTCATTAATCTAATCATGATTGGATGACTAGAGTATAAATATATTCCAAAACTGCAATTAAAAATTTGTTTTGAGAAATACTAAAACAAATATATCAAGCTCAGGCCAAACAAAAACTTCACTACGATATGCCAACATAGCTTTTCTCAACTACAGGATTTATAAAAATATTTTGAGGCATTATAGACTAAAGAGTATAATGATAAAACTTCATAGATTAATTTCTTTTACCAACCTAGGAGATTGCTTTTAAACACAAGATTTAGGTTGTTGAATAAGAATGGGCATGGGGTGTAAGGGAGGGGCAGCTAAGTATGAAAAGTCCTCTTTATGATGATGGAGTTAAAGATTGTTTTCAGTATGATAACAAAGCCAACTACTCTTACTGGATTTTTTTTTTTTTTAAATTCCAAACCTCATTTAGGATCTTGTAGATATTCTTTGGTGTTTCTTACACAAAAAGTTGGCAGTAACTTACTGGCATTCCCCCACAGCTTTCCGCTTGATATACAACTGTCACATTTATTCAGAAGTTCTCTCTAGGTGAATCCTCCCTCTTTGCCCTCTTCCCCAGTGGGCAGGCCAGCCTCCCTGCACTACTGTCTTATCTCGAGTCCTCCTTATTAAGCTTAGCTGAAAAGCAGAAGAAATGTGTTGTCAGGAAAAGAATGACCTATGTTCTTAAGACTTTCCTCCAGGAAACAAGCAGGTGATGCTACTCTTCAGAAACACCTGTTCCAGAAATGAAGCAGTCATACTGGTTTCCCTAAGAATTCTTATATTTTATATATTTCTTCTTCTAAGCTCTATTGCAGCTCCACATTTTTAACTTTAGAAAAGTTCCATAATAATTTTCTGTGATTATTTTCATATAGATGAAATAATATGTATTATACCTACTATGTAATTTTTTGTGTGGACCACTATAAATTAAATGAGGAAGTATAATGTGCTAGCTACAATTTCTATATATAAATGCAATATTCATTTTCAGGTTAAACAATTATTAACATATTACTCTAAATAAATCTAAATTTAAATACACACCAATAATTTTGGCAATGATCTTTTGAGTCACTCTCCAAATCTTTTTCAATTTAGAACTTACATTGTTCTCAATTCCCGTTGAGGAATATTGATGGACTCTCCTGTATCCATAGGTGAATAAGGCAACCTTCAGTGTTTTAGAGATGGATCAGGAGTTAAAGAGCACTGACTGCTCTCCTAGAGGATCCAGGTTCTATTCTCAATCCCCAAACAGCTGCTCATAACCTACTGTTCCAGTCCCAGGGGATCTGACATTGTCTTCTGGCCTCTGAGGGGACCAGGCATGCTCATGGTACACAGACATGCAACGTACCCACATATTAAATAATAAATACTTCATAAAAGACAGTCTTCATGATTTTTACTCATCTTTTTTGTTGGACTGCTTATGCTTTTCATTCTTTACCTTCCCTCTTCTTTTACAAGAATAGCTATGCCATCTGCCTGACTCACAATGGCAATATTAAGATTCTGCTCTCTTGTGAAAATACATGTATAATTATTTACAGTATCAAACAGACTAGTAATATAACTGGGATACCCTATAATTCGTTTTATCGGCTTGACAGGACATTTAGCCTTACTTCATAACCAAGGTAGAAGTATTTAGAAGCTGAATGGGGTCTAAAAAGGAGAGCCTTCCCATTCAACCAGGGCCAGTGTTCTTTAGCAAAACATGAAAAGACAACACAGTATTTTATTGTAAGATACTGTACAAGAGAAATAGCACAACTTGAATCTTGAAAATAGTAAAATACTATAGTTTTACAAATGGGATAAAAGGAGGAAAGCTAATAAGAAATGGGTTGTGACCAAATTTATAATATGTAGGTGGTGATCCATGTCACATTTTTATTGTACTTTATTATGAGGTATTCAGTTATTACAGACTCGAGTTGTAATGTCCAAACTACAGAGCTAATCTTTTCTTGACCAACTGCTCTCTCTAGATACGATTGTTTCTCTTAGAAACAACATATTCTAAGTTCTGTGGTTTATAGAGAAGTCAGAATGTAAATGAAGAAACGACAGCTTTTCCTGAAACTAGCCCTACTGAAATTGTTATTTCATGAAATGACTCTTTAGAACTGAAGTAAATTTGTGGTATTTTAGCATTTAAGCTGGAAAAATTAGAGGGCCACAATTAACTATTTGTTTTCCTGGCTACTTATTTGAATCATAGTTCTCCTATGCGCCACGTGTTCATTTCCTTGCTCCAGTGGTTTTGGGGATCTTTAATTTGAAAATTAAACGGAACCTTGCTTGAAACACAGATTCTTGCTTCCATCTATTTCCCAAAGATTCTGACTTCATTATCTAATTCTTTACTTTGCAATAATTCAGGGCCTTGGTAGGCTGAGATGCTCAAGAAAACAAGTAATGTGCTTCACACAATGGTATGGATCCAACTGTCTCCAGATAGTTTGGAACCTATTGAATTATTAAGTATCTCGACTAAATTATGAGTCCTGAGTTTCATAAGTTCTGAGGACTGTACTGAACAAATGATTCCTCATAACCTTATTATGAAGCTCAAACGTACAGGATGTCCAGAAACTGAGACTGACTCCAGTGTTTCAAGTGCTACCTGTTGGATTCTGAGCGTCCCACGGCAGGTGCTCAGCCCAATAATGTTCCGTGTTTCTTAAACCTGGGCGTGGTTAAGCAGGTAGGTTCCAAATAGTGTAATTATAAATTCAGTTTGCCCCAGAGCCCTCTCAGAACTCCTTTTATTAGTTCTGAGACTGCCATGTAAGTCACAAAGTAAGCAGTGGCGGCTGTGCCCGGGTGCAGGGCGAGGCGGGCGTGTGCCCGCAGTGTCCAAGCCCGCAGGGGAAGCGGTGGCAGCACCCAGCGGAGGACCCCGCTTTCCCCGGCGCGGACACCGGGACTGAGCAGCAGAGCGCTCCCCAGGGGCGTCGTGTGCGAGCCGACCAGGGACCACAGGCCCAGGGGGGCCGCTCGGCCGCGAGAGACAAGGACACGCCTCGGCTCGGGCCAGCTCCCGGCCTCCCCTGGCCTCCCGCCAGAGCCGCCCGCCACCTTTCTTCCTCCGCCCGCGGCTGAGCGCCGGCTCGGGGCCCCAAGTCCGCCCGCGCCCCCGCGCGCGGCCCCGAGGCCCTCGGAGCTGGCGGCTCAACTAGACCGGACGGATGTGGCGCATGCGTGGTGGCGCCACCCGGCGCGGGAGCTGCGGCGGGGACGGCGGCGGGAACCGCGGAGAGTTGGGCCGCCTGGGCCGGGCCCGTGAGGGCGGCGGTGGCGGCGGCGGCGTGGGTTGGCGAGGCCGCGCGGGCGGGGCCCGGCGACAGCTGGAGGAGCGCTTCGCCGACCTGGCGGCCAGCCACCTCGAGGCCCTGCGCGCGCGCGACGAGCGGGACCGGCAGAACGCGCGGCTGCGCGACGAGAACGCCCGCCTGCGGCTGGAGAACCGGCGGCTGAAGCGCGAGAACCGCAGCCTCTTCCGCCAGGCTCTGCGGCTGCCCGGCGACAGCGGCCAGCGGGAGGCCGCCGACGCGACCCTCGGCCCGGACGAGCCCGCCACCGACCGCAGGGCGAGAGGCGGCGGCGGCGGCGGCGGCGGGGAGGACGAGCCGGGCAGCCCCAGGGCGCTGCGGGCCCGGCTCGAGAAGTTGGAGGTCATGTACCGCCGGGCCCTGCTGCAGCTGCACCTGGAGCAGCAGGGCGGCGCGAGCCCGCCGGAAGACAGGGACGAGCGCTCGCTCCGGGAAACTGCCGCCGGCCTGTGCGCCCATGACCCGGATGTCCCCGGGCCCTGGCTGTAGCCGGAGGGCCCGGCGGGAGGGGTGGGGCCCGCGCGCGCCCCGCCCCCTCGGCGCTCAGCGCCCCGCCCCTCTCAGCACGCGGAAGCTCAGGATTGGTGCTCCCGGGACTCCCGCCCCACCCATGGGCACTTCCGGGTGCCACCTTCGTTGGCCCTGGGGGGTGGAGAGGAGCCAGAACTTCCTAATTATGGAATGTGCAGAGCAGCTGCCAAGGACCCTGCTAGTTTCTTGAGGAGAGAGAGGCCTAGCTACTCTAGGGCCGGCTTTAAAACAGCAAGAACTGGGTACCTAGCAGCACCTCCTAAGTTCTTGAAGTTTTTAAAGTGTTGTAAGGACCAGTTGTGTATCTTTTCCTCCCTCTGTTTTTGATTCTTTGAAGGATGAAGTGTATTCAAGCCTGTTCATCCTTTCGTTCCCTAAATCTGCTGTTATCTCTTTTGCGACCAACATGTTTTATAAATTGGTATTACTTGGATATCCCATCTTCTTTACACCTTTTTATGAAGAAGAAAATATTTATAACTGCCCGTTACTCCAATTCACATATGTTTAATATATTCTGGTGTGCTGACCTCCAGAGATTTTTTTTTTTAGAGTATCTTCTGACAGGTGATCATTTGAGTTGATAAATAAAAACTGGTGCATTAAAATCTAAAATTTCCATGCCTATTATTTGATGACTGTTGAAGATTTATAGGGTCTTCTAAGATTATATATACATATATGTTGCCTGTTTTAACACCTAGCTTTGTTTCTCTTTTATAATCTTTTGGATAATTTATATAAGATCTTTAAAAATCTCAGGATAGTTTGAACAATATTATTCCAACATTTTATATTAACTTATTCAGTTTCACGGCTATTTTACCTGATTTTTAACAACTTTCAAGAAATTGTAAATTACTTTCATTTTATTAGACAAAAATCCCTAGAGAATTATGTTTCAGTTGTGCACTTGGTATCAGAGAGAGAGAGAGAGAGACTACGACACATGCTCTAAACTTTTTTTCTTAAAATTTATTTATTTATTTGAGACAGAGTAAATGCTCAGTAATCCATTGTGGCCTGGGACTCTGCCCTCCTCCCTTAGCCTACTGAGAACTAGGATTACAGGCCTCCACCACCAGCAACACATTCTCCTCTATGGTCATTTTATTGCATTTTTCCTAAGCACTGAAGAAAATGCAATGTGTCTGATAAATTTTGTGGAAGCAAAACGATGTGCTGTCTTTATTCCCCATGGTAAGAATCATAGTCAACACTTCTGTAACAAAGCCAGGTCAATCAGAGAAAAGCATAATCACCATTTTACATGTCCCACAGGCCCAGGGGAAACTGTTGAAATTGCCACTAAAAGAATGCAGAGCCCTGTAGAAATGAGTGAATGATAGCTACAAACTAATAGTTACAGACTAAAAGGGAAACTTAGTGAGGCCTCTCTGTTCAGTCTCTTCTCGACCTCTCTGTGTGGCATTCCTTCTCCTGGGTACAGGTCATGACTCCTTTCAAAACATTGCTTTTATGACAACTATCAAGTTAGACCAGAAATTTTCTTTATGACTATCTCCAAGAGGAAAGCATAGGCTATTTAAAGTAGTATATATCTATCTGTGTTTGAGGAGTTTCTCTAACTTGCCTTAGAGAAAAGAGGATTATGAATTCTGTAGTTTGCTTGTGGGAGGGAAACAACTTATGAAAGACAACTTATGAAAGGAGCTGCAAAAGAGACTGCTTCTGAGATTCTTTCGAGGTATCCAGTATAAGTACACTGCTTTGGAGTATTGTTTCTGAGACCCCTATACATCATGTGTTCAAAAGTATTAAAACAATGGGGAACAGTTTAGGGGAAATGGGGATACAAATAAGTAGAGATGTAAAGAAACGAAATGTATACTCTGTACAGCATCTCCCAGAAAAATTTAAATACTATATTTGAAATACTTATTACAAAACAAGGGTCAAGGAAACTAGTGATATTCCTTGTTAAAATTTTTTTTTTTGGTTTTTCGAGACAGGGTTTCTCTGTGTAGCTTTGCGCCTCTCCTGGAACTCACTTGGTAGCCCAGGCTGGCCTCGAACTCACAGAGATCCGCCTGGCTCTGCCTCCCGAGTGCTGGGATTAAAGGCGTGCGCCACCACCGCCAGGCGGTTGTTAAAATTTTTTAGAACACTTTCTGCGTTGCCTGTTGGTAACTGATATTCAGTTGTGAATATTAATTCCTCTGTGGCCAAAGTATATGAAAAAGGATTTGCTGAGAAGTAGTAGGTACATAAAAATTAATACTGCCCCTATTCATTTCATGTTTTTACAGGGAAATAAAGCATTTATGGAAGGCAGTAGAGTTTCAAAATAAAATGAAAGGATTATTTTTCCTTGGGCATTTCACTGTAGCTTTAGATTTAATTTAGTTAATTACTCTAAGACTTAATTTTTTCTCATTAGCAAAATGAACACAAGATCTACCTCAGAATATTGTAAACCACTTATTGAGATATTAAAAGCAAAATGTCTGCTTCAAAGTAAGTGAGAATGGCATTTTTGAGCATGAAAATAGCAAGTACATATTTTATTTGCAAATACCATTGCTTTGTGAGTTTTTCTCTATGACATTGTATTTTTGTAAAAATGTTAATGCCTTTCAATGCGTAAAAAAGTAAAAGGGAGGAGATAAAAACTTTAGAGTAAAATAATAATGTAATACAGGGTTTAAAGATATTTTTCACTAACACAAAATTGAGAAAATTCAACAAGGAAAATAAATTTTTATCCTTCAGCACTTTTTGGCTTAAAGTTGTGCAAATTGTTATTGTGAATAAATAGCAAAATCATCAGATTTACTGGTGGGAAAAATGCAATGAGGTGCAGACACAGATTTACTTTTTGTGCACCATTCATGGAATATGTTAAAAATTCTCAAGCCAACGTACCCTATAAAATGGGAGAAGGTTCATACACATTTCCACTTTAATGACTTCACTGTTGGCCATGGGTAAAGTACCCTGAAGTGTGAAAGATAACTTGCTGTAACAAAACATGTAGTCATTTAAAGAGTGGATAAAGTTGATATTACAAAAATTACCCAAGGCCTAGTTTAATCTGTGCAAAACTAAAAGTGCGCTATCCTCTGTTTTATTAAAGGAACACTTCATTGTCCTAATTTCACATTAGTTATACAATGAAGAAAGGTTTTACAGCTTATTGATAAAAGCAAACAAAATGTGTGTTTTTAGCAGAAAATATGTTGAGACTAATTGGCTTTTAATATGATTTTTATAGCTACTACTCTAAAAAATATACTTTATCTTTTTCTCTGTATGAAATTGAGATGGGAAAGAAAGTAATATAAAATAAGATCTTAACACCAGTGATCATACAACAAGCTATTTTTGTAATACTTAAATATTTTTAAGACACCATTGCTAACTCATGATATTACCATAATGGAAATAATACTAAGTTAATAAATTTAACTAATAATGTATGCTAAAATAATTAGCACCATGATCTTGATTCCAACACAAAAGAACAATTGATACTTTTTTCTAAAAGGAGGATATTTTTACTGAGAATTTGACATAAAATATTTAGAAAATTTTCATGAATCACAATTTACATTTCTATTTAGTGATGTGTAGATTAATTATATATTGACCTTCCTACCACAAGTATTCTCTTTTTTCATGTTTCTTTTGTTTTTTCTTTTGAAGATAGGGTCTCACTATATATTATTGCATGGTCTGGAACTTGCTGTAAAAACCAGCTCGACTTGGATTCATAAAGATATATCTGCTTCTTCCTCTGAGTGTGGTGATAAAGGCATGCACTCACATAGACAGTTATAACATATATACACCACGCACACTGTGTGTAATTATATATTTGAATATATAGTATGGAGAGTATGCAAATATATTCATGCAATGGAAATAAAAGATTTAGAAAAACATGTTGATTATAGCCTCATCTTAGTATAAGAATTAATCTTGCTCATTTTTCAAAAGGTAAAGCTTAAACTAAGATTTTCATATTTCAGCAGTGAGAATTAAATTATAACATGTTTAATCCAGAGAATATATGGCTTATTGTAAAATTCAGTGGTAGAATTACTTGTCATTATAGTTCCTATACTTTAGATGTTTATTTGTAACCCAAAAGTTTAGATATTGCAGCTCCATCTGCACCACTGTGATGGTATTAAGAGATAGTAAATATTTTAAGGGATGGGGCACAGTGAAGGAGGTTGTTTTATTGTAGGTATTCCCTGTTAAGGGTATGTTAACCAGGGGCCTTAAAATGTTTTCTAATTATTTCTATTTGTGCAGAATTACTAAAAAGATAATGAAACATAAAAGCAAAAATACACACATGCACAAATGCACTCACACATATTTTTATATATACATATATCTGAATTTTCAGTGCATTCTACCTATTTCCACTGACATAAAAAGTGATGTTATATGTATAAAAAGAACTTGCAACATATATTAAACTACTCTGAGATTCTATCTCAACCAAGTGAGAATGGCAGTCATTAAGAGCACAGCAAATACTGGCAAGGATATGGACTAAACTGAATCTTTGTGCACTGAAGGTGAGAATGTAGCTAGTTTAGCCACTATGGAAACTGTATGAAGGTTTCTCCAAAATTATACAATATGTGTGTGTGTGTGTGTGTGTGTGAATTTTCAATGCATTCTACCTATTTAACTGACACAAAATGATGTGATACATATGATACATATATATATATATATATATATATACATATATTATGAAAATAGATATACCATATATACAGATATACCTCTGTAACATGCCTGTGTTTATACAAAAGGGTAACAAGCCAACACATCACAGAGACATTTGTACATCAATGTTTATTGCAACACTATTAACAAGATCTAAGTTACAGAGCTATCTTTGCTGTCTAACAACAGAGTAGTGGGTAAATAAAATGTGGCACATATACACAATGTTCCTTTCAGCCATAAAAGAGAGGTTATGTCATTTCTGGAAAAATGGATGCAGCTGGAGATAATCACATTAAGTGAATTAGGGCAGTCTCAGAAAGATAAATGCCTGTTCAGTTTTTGTTCTTAGATTTCATATGGATATAAAAATGTTTGTGTATGTCTGTGTGTATCTGTGTATGAGACATGAAATTGGAAAAATAAATTGTCTTATGAAACATAGGGGACTAAGGGCAAGGAGAGAAGGGAGAAAAAGACAAGTGTAAGACTATATGGAGACTGTGTGCAACATGTAATATATTTTTATTTGATAACCAAAAAAATAACAAAAATGATCTTTCAAATGTCTTAACTATAAGAGCAAGCCCTAGTGAAACCATAAACCTATCAAACCATTGAAACTATAAAAAAGAATACAATTGTTTTATAGATTAATTCCACCTGTCATATATACATGTCCACTTCTTATGAACTTACTCTGTTCTTACTAACTCTTTATCTTGGCTATTATTATTTCTACTCCATAAAATATTTTGTTGTTCATAAACATAGCCAAGAGACATCTTTAAAAGTGTTCAGCATCTTTGACAATTAGATGGTACAAATTTAAGCTACTTTGAGCTACATTTTATCCCAGCCAAATAGCTCAGATCAAGAAAACAACTGACAGCAAATT